TTCCCTGTCCTTCTTGAACTGAGGGGCCCAGAACTGGACACAATACTCCAGATGCGGCCTCACCAATGCAGAATAGAGGGGGAGGAGAACCTCTCTTGACCTACTAACCACACCCTTTCTAATGCACCCCAGGATGCCATTGGCCTTCTTGGCCACAAGGGCACATTGCTGGCTCATGGTCATCCTCCTGTCCACCAGGACCCCCAGGTCTTTCACCTACACTGCTCTCCAGTTCGTCAGCATCTTAAATCGCACAAGGGGAGCTCTGCTTATCCCTACAAATTGCCCCCTTCGGCTCCTCCCGCCGGTGCTCCTTACAGGGAGGGCCGCCCCGCTGCTTGTTTTCCCGGCAGTTCCTGCCCCTCCCAAGGCTCGTACTGAATCTCCGGCCAGAGCAGCAGGGAGGGGCTGCCAGCCCCCCCTGAGATGCAGTGCAGGCAGGAGGGGGGTTCAGCCCCGTGGGGCTCGGAAACTTCCATCAGCGTCTCATCCTGCGCTGCCGCGGGCAGGAGGGCGCAGTGCCCTGCTCCTCCTCGGGCTTTCTGCTGCTGGTTAATGGGAAGGTTCTTCACCTCCCCCCACTATTGATTTTAAAGGGCTTTTCCTCTCCTGCAAAGCGTGTGTCTTGTTTAGAAGACCATTTAATTCACTCTTTAATCAAAGAAGGAAGACACCGGAGGACTGGGAGCTGACACATGGGGCTGTGTAGGAAACCAAGCCAGGCTCAGGTCACATCTGCATCAATGTGGCTCATCCACCACAATGCTGCCTGGTAAACCTGCTGCTGTCTCTGGGGAAATGCTAGCCAGGATGTGGATGGGCTTAGAGGAACATTTATTTGGTCACTGACTAGTCAGGGGGATCCCATCCCCTTCACATGCCTCAGTTTTCTTAGTGATTTTTTTTTTTTCTTCTGCCTATTTAGACCCTCTGCCTGGTTATCTTTGGGGTTGTGTGTGTACAGAGGAGGGGCCTCAGTCTTTGCAGGCCTTACTGCTGCTATCCTAATAACAATAATGGGTTCACAGTAGTTAGAAACCAGAACAAGTCAAATATATATAAATATATATATATATGTATATGCTTAAAGCACATATAGCTCAGTAGTTTTTCCTGTAGCTGCATTAGCAGCATCACCCAGACCTGGCAGACACCACTGTGCATCCACTGACCCCTGCAAGGAAGCTGGTTTCTAGAGGTTAGCTGAGAACTTCAGGATAAAAAATAATGTTCTAAAATCCTGGAGCATTAGCCCCAAAGCTCCTCTTAAACAGGGAGAGTAGTGAAAGGTTTCTTGACTGTCCTCCAGCTATAGTTCTGGCGAACCCTGCTTTTTGGTGAGCTATGGTCCATCATGCAGTCAGTCCTAAACATAAACATCCTGCAGCTCTCACTGCCCCTGAAGGCCACATGGCTATTGAAGGGGAGGAGAAGGAAGGAAAACCACCATTTTGCTAGTTTGCTTGTACAGAGGAAAGAGTCTGGGTCCCGTGGGGTTTAAGGCACCATGTGCTGGTATCTGGTCAGATGGAGAAAGGGGAGGAAAAAACCACAGGGAGCAATGTGCCAACCAGAGTATCTTAACACCTGAACGTTCCAGCCTAAAAAAACCACTCGTCTAGAGTAAAAATTGTGTTCAGGATGGAGCAGCTGTTCCAAGCACCAGTTCCAAACAATTTTGATGCCTCTATGAATGCCTGATGTGACCCAGTTTTTCACTGAGAGTGATGTGCCAGTGGGGCCAACACACAGCACTGGCCATTTGCTTTATTTTTTCCAGGCATATCTTTGTAGGCAAGTGTGTAGAGGGTCATTCATAATACAGCAGTGCACTCCAGCATCTTGCTTTAGTAATGAGTTTGTCCCCCGTGCTCTCCTTCACTCCTGAGCAAGGGAGTGGAACATCTCCCTTATGAGGAAAGGCTGAGGGAGCTGGGTCTCTTTAGCTTAGAGAAAAGGAGACTGAGGGGCACCCTCATCAATGTTTACAAATATGTAAGGGGTGAGTGTCAGGGGGACGGAGTTAGGCTTTTCTCAGTGATGACCAGTGATAGGACAAGGGGCAATGGGTGTAAATTGGAGCATAGGAAGTTCAAGGTGAATATCCTTCACTCCTGAGCAAGGCACCCCTGCACTGGTGCTCCTCAGGGAGCAGGCACAAGCAGAGCTGACGTGCTCAGTGAGAGATGAGGTTGGATTCCTCCTTTGGACTGAGATTTCATGTTTGCTATGTGAAAAGGCAGAAATGTCATGTATTTTCCAGTGAACTGGGTCAGGGAGGGAGGCGTGTAACCTGATGGATGCGATCTGAAAGCAGCTTATCTCTTCATCACCTCTGGGCTGTGAAGTCTGGCAGGGAGCTGGCCCTTGCAATGGTCACAGTGG